CAGCAAGAAGCTACACTTCGACCAACTCGACAGATTGAAAATTTTCTCTCGAACTCACAATTTTCTCGAGAGTAGATTTCAACTTCACAATAAAGGATATCTAGCTCGAAGCCAAATATCTACGATTTCAAATCCACGACGGAGGATATCGGGTCGCTCAAGATAACGCAAGTTCAACTTCACGACGAAGGGACCGCTGGTTGTCAATAAACATTTCCCAATTTCAGAGCCAATTTCAACTTCACAACGAAGGATATTGGACTCCAGACAATGTAAGTTCAACTTCACGACGAAGGGACCGCTGGTTGTCAATAAACATTTCTCAATTTCAGAGCCAATTTCAACTTCACAACGAAGGATATTGGACTCCAGACAACGCAAGTTCAACTTCACGACGAAGGGACCGCTGGTTGTCAATAAACATTTCCCAATTTCAGAGCCAATTTCGTCTTCACAACGAAGGATATTGGACTCCAGACAACGCAAGTTCAACTTCACGACGAAGGGACCGCTGGTTGTCAATAAACATTTCTCAATTTCAGAGCCAATTTCAACTTCACAACGAAGGATATTGGACTCCAGACAACGTAAGTTCAACTTCACGACGAAGGGACCGCTGGTTGTCAACAAACATTTCTCAATTTCAGAGCCAATTTCAACTTCACAACGAAGGATATTGGACTCCAGACAACGCAAGTTCAACTTCACGACGAAGGGACCGCTGGTTGTCAATAAACAACTTCTCAATTTCAGAGCCAATTTCAACTTCACGGCGGAGGATATTGGACCTGGAACAATACAACTTACTTGTATTTCAACTTCACGACGAAGGATATCTAATTCGTGGCTCAACTTCACAACGAAGGGGCCATCTACGGTTTCAACTTCACGAAGAAGGGATATCTGCCAACAAAAACCTTCGAGTTCGACCACGCTCAGCTCAAAGGCACATCATTTGCGGCATAGCTTAAGTCGAGAAGGGCTATCTGCCAACAAAGACCTTCGAGTTCGACTACGCTCAGCTCCAAGGCACATCATTTACAACATAACTCAAGGCTAGAAGGGTTATCTGTCAACTAAAGACCTGACGAGTTCGATTTCATTCAGCTCGATGACAATGATGAACTACTTTCTGGAAGAATTTTCAAGCCGAAATCTTTAAACCGAGAAGAAAACAAAGGCCCAATTCCAGGAAGCTCAATCACATTTGAGAACACCAGACAAAAACTGATTGTCTTTTTTCGTCTTTGCCCAATTCTTGTTAACACAAAAATGTGCAAAGAGGGGCAGCTGTAGACACCCGTTTTTTTCCGGGTCTACAAAAACATTTTATCATATATTTATTTATTATTGTTATTATTATTATTGTTAATAATATTTTTATTTTTTAATTTTGTAGGCCACATTTTCAACCCTCATTTCCAACAAACTACCCACTACCCAAAAATGAGGGAACCTCTATTGCTTTCCCCTTCCATCCACTACTCCCACAACGTCCATAACCACAACTCCACTAACTAGGTAATACACTTGCTCCAGACCGTGCCAATAAAAAGGAGAAGGAAGTTCCACTTCAAAGGGGGAAAAGGGGGGGCTTAGAATCTCTCTATTTCTATTCCCAAACAAAACCCGTATTGGGGCTCTCTCCCACGCGATCACCTTCACCAAACTCAAAGAGGCCGCTTGTTGGCCACCATGCCATGGTGGTCATCTTCCAGTTCGACCACTCCCCATGGCGGTCCGATAGTCTTGAATCGAATCCAACAACCCCCAAGACTCTCAGTCTCTTCATATCTCTAAATATGTCGCGATCGAGACTTCTAAATATTGCTCCATTCATCCCTCCGACGAGTGGGTTTCAAGCAGCCATGGAGAGAGATTGAAGAAACCCCATCGTTGTGAAACAATCGGGACCACCTTCACTTTCTAGCGTGGGGGTTTGCTGGAGCATGGGTTCAAAGCTATTGATGCATGGTTGCTCGTGTGGCCAGGGGGACCTGCACAAACGGATAACAAAAGCAAATGGAGGGTTTCTCTTCTCTGATATTGCTGAGGTCGTCGTTTTCCCTCAGTTTATTTTTGCTAACATTCGACAATGGCAACGGGTTCGACGGCGAGGTCTTTCCTTCAAGTTGCAGCCATGGAAGAGGTCGTTTCGCCTCTCCGAGTTGTGCAGATCGAAGGGCTGGTTATCTTAAAAATAATCAAGCACTGCAAGGAGTTTTCACCGGCTCTGGTTACCGACCAGCTTCTTGGTTTAGATGTTAGCAGTGTCATTGAAGTTACTAACTTCTTCCTTTTCCCAGTCCGCGGGGAGGACGAGGAGATTAAAGCTGATGGAGCTAATTATCAGCTCGAGATGATGCGATGCCTGAAGGAGGTTAATGTTGATAACAACATTGTTGGATGGCACCAATCAACGATTTTGGGTTCATATCAGACAGTCGAGCTCATCGAGACCTTTATGAATTATCAGGAGAATATAAGGAGGGGTGTGTGCACTATCTACGATCCTTCAAGGTTTAATCAAGGTGTCCTGGCTCTCAAGGCTTTTAAGCCATCTGATTCTTTTTGGAGCTTTCTCGGGCTAATAACTTTACCAGACAGAAGAAATGGAGAAATATAAAAGTAAATTGGGACCCATGTTTCATTGGCATGATTTGTCTATTTTGAATAAACCCACGTGAAGTGGACTGGGGTAAATTCTAGACATGGTCCTTCAGTTATTTGGGTAAATTACTCCATAGCTATTCAGATTTTGTGGCTAAATCCTTCTTTTTGGTCCCCATCTTTGAACAACATTCGTTTTGGTCTTTTTTATTTATTTATTTATTTATTTTATTACTTTATTTATTATTTTTTTTACTAACTTATGTTTTTCTTTGTTATTTATTATATTTATTTTTCTTATATTAATATTTTTTTCTTTTTTCATATTTATTTTTACTTTACAATCTAACAATATTTTTGACTTTAGGGATACTTTACAACTAATCAAATGTAAGTAATGTGAACCGAATTTTTAAATTTCAATTTAAATTTTTAATTTTCGCTAATAAAGACAACCGACAAATTAATTGGTACCGAAATGGCGGTTTAAGGGTGTTAATCCTTCCTTAACCGTAATCGACTACCGAACCCGACACGTTTCTGATGCAACGCAGATCAGGTAAGATGGTGTCCGACCCACCTAAATTTGTTTTAAAGTGGTCGGTGGCGACTCTAACCCAATTCGTTTAATCCAAGTCGAAGCCCAATCCCGGGGCCCAACCGGAAAGACGGTTCCGACAGTACGAAATATATAAGTACATATGTTACAGCATAATAAAAATATAAGAAGTAATTTATGCGGTACAAGTAACATATATATATATATATATATGATTAATTTAGGGTGATTATAAAATACTATTTGTTCTAAAGATTCTAAATAATTTGACAACGAAAGTTCATTAGCCTTGTAGTCTCTGGTGCTTAAATATGGGATATCTTGGAATAAAAATTATCCCTTTAACCGTTGAGGTAGGTTGGTTTGCACGTACACGTAACACATACAAATATATATATATATATATATATATATATATATATATATATATATATATACATAAAATAATAAAAGACATATATTTGTAAACACATATAATATTATAATACATTTTAATAAAAAAATAAGTATATACATAAATATAAAGAAAATAATCTCAAATAACAAAATATGTATGTAATAAAGTTTTATATTCAACGGGTAGATATATATATATATATATAAAGAAGTTTATATACTCACTGTAACACTCTTAACCCGTATATGTACCCATATACGAGTAAAAGATATCACATTAAACTTTTAAAATCTAAACAAAATTCGATCAAAATTTGATTCTTTTTAAAATTTATTCATTTAAGCCTTTTTCATCAAATTGATTAATTGTGCAAAATAAAATATAACATTTTGACTTTTAAATCAAATTCGACTTTAAGCATCCTGGTCAATTGCATCGAGCCAAGCATTCTGGGACTGATCTCTGCTAATAGAAGATAACGGATTAGAATCATTCTGGGACCTTTAAGGCTTGCTTCCCCTCTAAACAGGTCTTTCATAGATAAGGGTAAGGGTATAGTCTCACCCCTGCTATCGAGGGGTTTTCCCTCTCTTTCAATTTAGCTTTCTGCTTCAAGTACTCCAGCGATGGAAATCTTTATCGACTCATAGATAAAGGATGTATGATTCCCGAACCTTAACAAAAAGGATTGAGCTCCGCCTAACCGGGGCTAGGCTAGTCTCAGTGTTTGGGTCCTGACTTGATGGGATGGGAGTTTCAAGGCTTTTAAAGAAGGCCGAGGTTATGCAATATCTCGACCGGAGGGAGAGGAGCTAAGGGGGTTGAACGAGATTCGTTTTTTGTCATCATTTTCAATCCCACCAAATATAAATAAATTTATTTAGTTTTATTTTATTTCGGGTACGGTCGCACCCCCTAAATATTTAAAATCCTCTTGTATTTTAGGTTTTTTTATATTTTATATGAATTATTTAATATTACACCCTTTAAGATTTTATATAATTTTTTATGTTCGCACCTTGACACAAATTATTTGTCCATCTCTATTTTTACTGAAGGTACGACGTTGTTCTGGACATTTGGAGCTTTTAATGCTTTGAACTTTGGAAAGATGAGGTCTATTTCTCTCCGCATTTCTTCCCGTAATATTAAATCTTTCACTCCCAAATTTTCAAAAGATTTATTACCGGCGACTGCTATCACTTTACTTTACCAAGTGATCGAATTTTGAACCCCAAGCCTCATGAAGAACCCAAAACAATTCGGTGTTTATGATCTCTTCACAAATTAATTCACAATCTTATGTTAATGTATAAATTAGTAAAAAATTATTATATAAATTTTACCTCATCATTGAATAAACAGAAACAAAATTAAGTAGATTTTTTTACCTCGTCATACAAGCGTTGTATGGCGGATTTGTCATCCGAGGCTCTCATAAGAATATAGAGCTTATTCACATTTGGTTGATGCCTTAGTATTTCCTCGATAAAGACTGAAACCCATGGTTGAGATTTTTTTAAATATAAATTGTACCTTCAGTAAAGTCCCTTTTGGCTTAGCAAAAGAATAGTATATGCACCTTTGGCCAAAAATCCAGTTGCACCAGTGATTAGTATGGTCTTGCCTTGAAGAAACTTGGCCACATGATCCAACTCCATGACTATAAATCCACAAACAGTAGAACATGTTGATGTATAAAGATAAAATCAATATTGACGTAAACTGAAGTAGTAAATAAATCGAGCTGAAAAAAAAAGCAAAGAAAAACGATAAAAATGCTAAACACAGTACACAGTCACGGACCTGGATTCTGGAATTCCTCATCTTCCCTCATCTTTTCTTCCATTTTCTGGTTGATCCCAAGAACTTTTGAATTCCCTCGAATCGAGTTCGGTATGCAAACCTGTAGCGGGCTAGGATCGAAGTTCTTGTTTGGGCTCGAAATCCAAAACATAAGGAATCGTATGAGCAAGTAATGTGTGTTATTCTTTTTGTCTTTCATGCAATGATTCTCTGAGGTATCTATAGGGGAGAATTTGCACTTCTACAGATCATGCATGCTGCTGGAAAACACCTTACGTATGCATGGCGAGCGGTCAAAACGTATATAATTCTAGGTTCCTTCCTCACTACACCAAATTAAATTAAGGCTTAGTGCCCAAATAAGGGCCAGAACTATGCCTTTTGTGTCGAATAGGTACCAACATTGTTTTTTGGTCCATCCAGGTGTGTAACGTTACAAATGATACCCTTTTAGGTATTCGGGCCATCAACAGTGATAGTTTTCCTCGATAAGTAGTATGTGTCACAATCTGGTAATTTAAAAATTTTATATAAAATTAAAAAAATAAAATTATATATTTAAAAAAAACACATAAATTTCAAAATAACCCCTAAACTTTGAAAACCTTCATTTCAACCCCTAAACCCACACCGACCGTCGCCTTTTGCTGTCAAAGAAGCTCCACTCGATGTCCCCCTCCTCCCAGTGACCAAAACCCCTATGAAATCATGATCGGTTGACGACCGATCAACGACAAATTGACATTTTATACCATGTGAACCCTAGGATGAAAATCTTGATCCCACGTGATTCCGACGGTGAATCGGCAACAACTACGGCGACATATAACTAGGATGATGGCAATGACTATGTCGACGGCGGTGGTCGTGGCCGAAGATGGCGCCGACAGCAGGTTAGTGTTAGGATTTGGGGGGTTTTAGGGATTTTGAGGCTTTTTTTGTAATTTAAAAAGTTAAGATTTTTTAATAAATATAATAATATTTTTAATATTTTTAAAAAAAATAAATTTTCAAAATTATCGGATTATGACATGTGTTACTTAACGAGGAAAACTAACGTCATTGACGGCTCGGACACCTAAAATAGTAACGTTTGTAATGTTAGACACCTAAATGGACCAAAAAATAATGTAGGCACCTATTCGACACAAAAAGTATAGTTTAAGCACTTATTTGGACATTAAGCCTTAAATTAACCTCTTTTTATTTCTTCTCAAAAAAAACTAACCTCCTTTTTATATATAATATTTATTTCAACAACTGCAATTGTTTTATTTTTAATTTATTATATTAAATGAAATCATTATAAAAAAGCTAAACAATTATATATATTATCATTAAATCTTATAATTATTTTAAAAAATATGAGTCTTAGTAAAATATTTGTAAATTTGTTTTATCGTATTAAAATTGTTAAAACCATATTAATAAATTATATATATATATAAATTAAATAATATTTTCACGTTATAAATTCCCTATATATATAACTTTAGTTGTCATAAATAAAATTATAATTATATAAATCAAATTTTTAAATAATTATTTTTTCCTCAAAATAAATACCATTAGCCGTCACAATTGAAGTCAATATCCCCATCACGTGCTATGTTTTCTATTTCGTGAAACAAATTATAGATAATTGACGTAGAAGAAAATGAACAGATAATCAACGAAGAAAAATATCATAAAGAAACAAAATAAGAATCTACTTTGATCCATTATTATTAATATAATTATATTTCACACTACTATTTTCAATACTATTTGAATTAGGAATGGGTATGAGACTCGAATTTAACGGATTCTGACCCGATCGAATCCGATCGGATCTGTTTTTAAAAAAAATTAAAATTCTATCGGGTCGGATTGGGTTTTTTAAAAGTTATGTTTGGGCAAGGTTCGGTTTTAAGGATAATTGTAATAATATCCCTCTATATATTATTTCTTTTCAATTAAATCTTTATTTTTAATAAAAATAATATATTTTTAATAATTATTTCAGGTATAGTCGAGTTCGGATTTTATCTCAAAAAACTAGGTCAGATTTAAGTCAGGTGGAAGGTATATATTTTTTACATCATATTCTAATCGGATGAAAAATTTATAATTTTCATAACAGATCGGGTGGATTAAAACTCTGACCGGCCGTACACATGCTCATCTCTAATTTGAATCCTTACTTTGACGAAACCGGATGCCTCCGACAAATTTCATTTTCAAAAAGGAAAATCAAATCAAGAAATGTCATATTATGATAATGGCTGTTTTCCTAAGAAGAATAGTATTTAGAAAGAAAAAACAATTACAGAACTATTTTTAAGTGCAATTCCTTTTTTTTAATTAACCACTTATATTTAATATATTGACCGACTAATTTATATCAGATACTGTAAAGGCGAGTGTAATTCTCCCAACTCAGTTTGCTCCATTCAGAAATGTCAGAGTTCAAACCCCCGACCTTATTTAAGAGATCTAATACTTAATCTCACTAAACCAACTGATTGTCGGTAAGTACAATCCTTTTTAATAACATAAATTTGTTTTATTAAATATGTGAAATATATATATTTCACACTCAATTATTTTAAAACTCATTCTATTTATAAAACTAAACTCTTTATATATCAATCATCTTTTTTGAAAAAATATAATATTAAATATTTATTAAATCCGGTAAACTTAGAAAGAATATGATTAGAGTACCGATAACATTACCATCTATGATATTTACAAAATATGAGTTTGAACAAAATATTGAATCAATAAAAATATATTTTATTCTCATCATATTATTAATTTGACATCTAACATATAAACTTTAAAAACAATTTTTACATTTATCTTAAAAATAATAATAATCACCAACAACTAATTGTTTTAGTGTATGAGGCACTAGACCTCTTAAGTAAGGTAAGTGGTTAAAATAATGATATTTGTGAATAGAGCAAACTAAGTTAGAAGGGTCTCCCTCATCTTTGTAATAACTGCTTAAATTAGTCAATTGGTTAAAGGAATTGTTATTGTTTCTAGAGGTCACGGGTTCGAGCACCAGCAGTTGTACCAGGGTGATTGAGCATTCATTGTCAAGTGATTGAGAGTATTTAAAACATATACTACTTTTTAATCACCTTAGTTTAATAAAAAAAATTAAAAAGAAATCCTTTTTGAAAAATTAAATTAATTAACATGAATATTCAACCAATAATTTATTATTTTAATCGTGTCTTAAACAACTTGTGTGTTATAAAGAATATAACATGCATAATTAAAATTTAATAAGATAAAATAATATACATGTAATGATTAAGAAGAATATGCAATTTTTTATGTTAATCAAAAGCTATTTTAAGATTTCAATTAAATGTGTTTGCAGGTGAATAAAAATGTAATTTATTTAATAAATTACATATTAGAAACTAATATAAGACTATAAAACTAATTAGAAATGTTTCCACGTGAATAAAATTTTAAATTATTTAATAAAATTAATTTAAGAAATTTATTTGGGATTTTAATAATAATTATATGTGATTGTACATGAATAAAACTATTATTGCACACATGTAAATAAAAGTCTTATAGCATATAATAATTAATGATTCCAAATTACTATGATATATATAAAATTACAATTATAATTTTAGATTACTTTCTCTAAAACCTGGTTTTTTTTATTGGTGCGTCGTTACCCCTTCTTTTCGTCTTTGTTAATTCGCAGTGGTATCAATTTTAATGTTGGTTGTCGACTGTCGATATTATTTATTATCCTTTTATTTTATTTTCTTATATAATATATTTATTTTCTTTTGTTTTTTTATTTTCAATAAATCTTCTTGTATGGTACGCTTTCATCTGTCTTTGTGGCGATTTTCTTTTGCCTTTTAACACGTTTTTTTGATCCTTTGATCGTTGTTTCATGTATACTTTTAAATTTTTTGACCAAAAATCACCCTATTAAAAAAATACTACCTATCAAACACCCTTTCCAAACTATTTCCCAATCAAACACCCTTTTTTAAGAGAGAGAATGACGCGCACGACAGGAGACACACGCCTTCCATGGGTTTTAATGAATGGGGCATCCTAGGGAACATGCCTCCCTTGAATGGCGTATCGTAGGGAACGTGCCTCTCATGATCGACAGTTATAGGTTTAGGGTTTTATGTTAAAGTTATTTTAAGGGTTTTTAAGTGCTCTAGGGTCTTATATTTGTATAGTTTAGGTTTTTAAAGAAGTTTAGGGTTAAAATTGATTGTATGTTAGAATGTTTGTGTTTTTAAAGTAGGGTAGAGTTAAAGTTGATTATATGTTAGATTGTAAGAAATAAACATTAAACATTTAATTGGATATATATATATATACACACACACGAAAGGGTCATCTTCTAAAATAAAAAAGCTAAAATCACATTAATTGAAACTAAAAGAAAATGAAACAACATAAGTTGAAATATTAGAAAATATGATTACATGAGTGGTGGTCAACGGTTACGAGATGATGAAAGAGATGAACATTTTTTCCTATTGTGGCCTGAGTTTATGCAATGGCCACATGTAACACCCTCAACCCATACCCGACCCGGATATGAGTCCAGGATGTCACATTGACTATAAAAAACAATATTCTAAAAAAAACGATAAAACATTTGAACTTATATTATTAAAATACAATAATATACATATGTTAATACAAGTTTATCAAAATACACAGAGCATACACAACTTGACCATTTGATTACATGCCAACATTCATTTACATAAAAAAAATGACCTACTGATTATGTTGCCTCTGATCTGATAGTTGCAGGAGTAATGTTGTCCAGCTGCTTAACCTGTCTCATCTACTTTCTCGGATCCTACGTGTGAAACACTTACACGCTAAGTCATCGACTTAGTGAGGCAAAATAATAATAACAACAACAAGGAAATGTAATGAAAATGCCATAATAAGATGGAATGAGATGAAATCTTATACTTAACAATGCATTTTATATCACCATGTTCCTTACCTATAAGCATATTACA